TTATGAATATATATAATCGATTTAAATAATTTTTAAATATTAAATAGAAAATATAAATTTTGCATAAAAAATATATTTATTTATGTTATTTATATCTTATTTTTATGATGTATTTTTTTGAAATTCGATAATTTGGTAGTTGGAGCGAATTATAGGAGTGTAATATTTGTTATTTATAATGGTTTTATATATTATAATTTGATGATTTATTTTTTAATGTTAATAATCTAAGGAATGAATTTAAGATGAAAATGTAATGATTATTATGATATTTTAAATATAAAGAAATTATATTAGGGGATTTTAATATTAATGATACGATTAGAAAACCGGGAATAACATTTTAATTCGGTTGCACAAAATGAATTTATAAAATTTGATTTAATTGAAAATAGCAAATAAATTAGTTTTTTAAGGTCGAGGAATGCATAGACAAACGAATTAACAAGAGGTTATTAATTTATTAAATTTTGTAATGATGATTTTTGCGGCTGATGGCTTTGCAATAGGACTAGGGTAAATATCGATCCTTGGTTTTTAATGGGATGTAGGAGGCCTTTTTCCCATCTTGTCGCAAGTTTGTCTTTAAACTTATCATTGAAAAATTGAATATGTAGCCATCTAGAAAATTTAGTAGCATCTTGCTGTTGAGTGGCTCCATGGTTTAAGAGCTAAGGTCTTAAAATATTACCATTTACAACCTGAGACAGAAAAAGGGTTCAATGGTTGTTGCCCGCATGGGCCAATTGGGGCTGCCCGGCTGTATACATTAAGAGGGTGGTGCGGAACACTATAATATATGTTTTAATTGGCGCCGGGTGCGGGGATTCGCCCAGGTTTCTTCTTCATTAATTCGGTTCCATCCGTCAACGGAGACCTTTCGTGTGGTTTTGATGGGACGCTCCCCATCTTCCGGGAGCGGTGCTATGATCCCCAAATGTTAGTGTTGAATCTATCACATTCTAAGCAGGCCAAAATTCAGAACGCTTAGGATGTAGCACAAATTGCCTGGGCGTAACTAGGCTTGATTGGCCAAGGCACGAATTAGCATCGCAATTTTTGAACCATGGCATTGGCTAAGCGGTTGCACTGGAATCCCGTAGGCCGATGTCGCATGGCCACTAATTGCATCAAAGCATTATTGCTTAATTGAAGGATTAACTTGTGCAGTTCTGCACTCTCCTAATTGCGCATTGACAAGTCCAGGCGTTAGGGAATCGTGGTCTGGTGGTCGTCTAGCATCTTGGGTATGGAATTTGTGAATGAGTTCGGTTTGCAAAATGAATTGCAAAATTCGTTGCAATATTTCGTGTAATTGCGTTGAATTCAATGGATTTTGTTTCGTAGGCTTGAAGCATCTGGCATTGTGATCTCAAGCAAGAGTTTAAATGGTTGTGTCCTCAATCTTTGTGTCAAACCGTTGTCTGGTGCGTCGAATTTGAATTCTTGGTCTCCATAGGGTAGAGTCCGAGGAGGTGGAGGATTTGTTGAGCGAGCTGGACCATGTCTCCGATCCAATGGTCCTGAGTCTTCCGTTCTCGGGCATTTGTCAAAATATTTCCCAAAAATGGCCATTAGATCCTGAAAGCTTTGTTCGTCGATCTGCATGCTCTCGGACATGATGATGGGTCAATCGAAGGTCCAGGCGTGTGTCTTGGGCCAATGTACATTCAATATGGTGAAGGATATGTGCAAGGAGTTCCAATTATGACCACTTCGTCGGTTTTACGTAGTCCGTCAGGTCAAAATTATCCGAAAGCCAGGCCCAAGCAATCGGCAGCTACGTGCAAAGGTGCTGCACCAGATGGCAAATTCCTTGCACATCAAGGTATGGCTTAGGCAATGCAGGTCAGTGAAATGATGAATATCCTGCAAATCGGAGCGGACAAATGCAACATTCCAAGATCGTTTCTGAACAGGCATCACAGGAAAATGGTCAGGGTGTATAGTTTGGCCTGCCATGATGATGAGTTGGAATTAAATTCAAAAAAAAAATGAGATTCCACCTTTTAACGGTCCTGCAGTCAATGATGGCTCCAAGGTTGGCCGTTTTGCTCACCATGGGCAGGCGAAAAAATGAATCCGGAATGAATATCTGCGGACCTGTGGGTGTCCGCAAAAAACCTCATTTTGGTAAATTTGGTCATTGCTCGATCAACAGCTCTGGCAGGCATCCATGGCTGACCATGGGCATCTCTGGCAAGCATCAATGACTTAGGATATAACTTATGAATGCGACGGAACCAATCAAAAGTCTGATTCCGCAGGGCCAAGTCCGCCCCTTCTTGCAAAAATTCCTCAAGTCGAATCTGCTTGTCAACCCTGGAAAATCGAGGCTAGGGAGCGATCTCTTAGTGTTCGCACTGCCTTGCGGGCCTGCCACATTTGAGTGGAGAGCGAAGTCCAGGC